AAAAAAATATTTTGCGAAAGAAACAATAAAAAATTTACTTATTTGTAGTTTCACTATTCAAAAAATGCTTTTATCCTTCGAATTTTAAATATTTCGCGCCAGTGTACATGTCGCGTCTACAGCGCTCCCTTCCGCTGACTTCGCTAACGTTCAAATAATCTCGATAGCAGTTGCACTTTCGTAATTTTTAAGATGCATTAATCTCTCGTTTTATCTAATTATCGTGATAATTAGTTACAGTGGATGTATTGAAATTTTATATCAAAGTATATTTTAAACTGGCATTATGCAATAACCAACGACAATTTAGCAAAAGGAAGTAATACGTGTTAAGTATACTGTGTACGACTTGGTTCGAGTTTAACTTAATCTCCTCGATGACGTACTTCCTCCTCGTTGGCTGTTGTACTCGTTTAACGACCTGTGCACCATTGTGCATTTTTGATAAAATATTTTGGAAAAAAGTAATGGTACATACAAGATTTGCATCACAATAATAGGTTCCGGACAGCTTTATTTGCGGTTTGTATTTTTATTATTCGAGTATCGGATTATTTTTATGATTCCCATTAATTATATTGTTACATAAATGGACAGTGCAGACTACTCCGCCATGTTTAATAATGTAGGGAAAGCCTGGAAATTTGTTTCTGCATATCGATCGATTTTATAAAAAATAATAGGCTGCTCGTTCTGTATAAATAAAATTGATTTTGCAAAATAGTTTAGTATTTTTTAACAAAATTACTATTTTCATTCGTTAACCCTATTTTGATATACAAAATTATTTTTGACTTTCATTTGCTATTTTCTTTCCACAGGTGTATCTTCGGAATACATTGTTTCCTACCTTTGCCAAACAATTTTTTCTCCAGCTGTTCAACCTATGCAGACGGTGCATTTTCTCTTAAGAACCTTGATGTTATGAAGAACTTCTTAAACGCATCATTCGTTCCATACTGATACGAAACCTTGGAAGCTTTGGGTAAAGTTTTAAAGATTTTAGCATTTAATAATTTTACTTCATTATTTTCAATCCATCAATTGATTCACCACAGTGGCCTCATCAGATGATGATTGTTGTGTGTGTGTCTCCAATAAATAATAACTTTTATTTTTGAAACCTGCAATTACTACTTGTGACAATTTAGATTTCTTCAGCGTTTGTATTTGGAAGTGTTGGGTTTTGGTGTTTTAGTTTGTTCTCAAAAGTATTTGAAAAAATGTCTTTATTTTGCTTCAACGTCTTATTTACATGGTATAATTAATTCTTTCTTTTGTCCGTTTCTACAGGTTGACTATTAATAAGAAAGAGAGTACATTGATATTGATTTTGATGTTGCTGAAACAACATTTAAAATGCAAGTTGTTAAACTTCTTTTTATGATAAATTGCTAATTGTACAAGGTGCAAAGTTGTTGATCTTTTTTCCTAGCGGGATAAATAAATAGGATTTTGCAAAAATTGTTGCACCTACAGCACTTATCTTTTGCACACATTTCAAACACGTCTTATAAAGGTAGTTTTACAAATTTTAAACGAATTTTTTTGTTTTTTGAAATAACTATTTTAATAGGTATCCCATTTTAATTCAGCAGCTCTCAATTTGTAAATAATTTTATTTCGTACATACCCCGTGTACTTCTTTCTTCTCTACGACCAAAATTTTTGTCAATATTTCAGAAAAAAACTACTTTTTCCACTTTATTGCTAAAATAAAAAACAATGAAACGAATTTTGTTTTAATCTGAAGAGGAATGGCCTTTTATTAACATCGCACCCAACAGATTTAATCCAAAATATTTTTATATTTTAATAAAACTCGCTGCTACTAATGTTTTCATTTTCAAATTATATATTCATTAGACCAGAGGGTTAAAGTTAGTTTTACATTTTATGTAGGTACCCCTTTTTGTAAATATAATATTAGTTTCTAATAGTGAAAATTTCGATTGTTATAATTTGCGTAATATCTGTTAAACACGAAACGTGGCTTGTTTTGCATACATACATCAAATAAACAATTTCTTCATTTATCTATTTTCAATGAAATACACAATAATATTAATGTACAGTTTTGTAGCCTATNAAGAATATGCAGTAAGCTAAGCGAAGAGGTAAGCCAGAGACATGTTAGACTATACTACAACTATTCAACTTGTTAGTAAGTACTACTACTACACTACTACTATTACAAAAAAATAATAAAGACATCTAGAATCAACAATTACTTCAAATAAAATGAACAAAAATAAGCATGCAAAATAGAAACTAATTCAAACTACAAAAAAAAAACATTCAAAATAAAAAATTAATCTGAATTTGGACTAAAAGAATTATTTCTATTTGGTAGAGCATGCAAGACAAAAGAACTATTTTAACTACGGGGTCATCTTTGTCTTCTCCAACGTCGATCTGAAACAGATACGGTGGTAACAGATTAATAAAGAGCAATTAATAGTAATTATATTAAATATTCTCACCTTAGCAAACAGTAGACTACTGTAAAGTTCCCAAGTTTGCATGTGTGAAAAGCAAACTAAATCCAGAAGGAATATCATAGCAGAAAACTTGTTTCAGTGAGATTTATATAAATCTTCTCTGGCTCACACTCATCGGTTGAATATTAACTGCATAATGTTGCAAGTTGAAGACGAAAACAGCAAATCAAGACAAGACATTGGCTGTTGCAATACCATCAATCTGAACATTAATTCTTCCTTTCTCACCATTTGAACGATCTGCAGAAACGGACAAAAACAAATATTAATTACATTATTAATTAAAGAAGAGATTACATTAAGTAAAAAACACGAAAAAGCAAGTAAAATACCCAAATCATAAAATGGCGATGTGCTGTCAATTTTATTCAAGACATAGATAAAGGCAATAGAAATAACCATAGATGCTTGCACACAATAGATAATTGATAGAAGAAAATCATAGATGTGGGCAATAGATAACTGTTAGAGAATAAAAACCATAGATGCCAGACATGGCAAATTACTATGAAAATTACGTACCATCAAAATAATAAACGATAAAGAAGTTACTAACCTCGAGGTTAATTGTACGATGCTCAAGTTTTATTCCTAAATACATCAATGTGAATTGGACTTCATTTGTTCTCAAAAAATTGCACTTTTCAAATCTAAAAGGACGGAACATTAACAGGGCTCCACTTCTCCATGTTTGGAATCCTTCTTGTTTTTTGTCTCCTTGTTCATTTAATAATTTTAAATGATAACCTGTTGAAATAATTTAATGTTAGTTTCATCTTAATTACTATGTTTGTATGAATGGGGCTCCGCATCTCCACGTTTCAAGTCCTTCAGATTTACCCTCTTTAAGGTAATTAAAAACAATTTTATAAAAATGACTATAGAATAATTAAGAATTTCTTACCTTTTCTACAGAAGATCCTCAGGTCCAGGAGAGACAACATTAACAGCACTGTACTTCTCCAAGTATCCAGCCCTTATTTGTCATATCGACGACGTTCCTTTATATGCTGAAATGACGACCTGCCGAAACAATTTAATATTAGTTACAACTCAATTTTTAAATCTTTTAAGATACTAAGCCCTAATTTTCATTAATCAAATAATAAAGTTTTAAATCAAATAATCAATGACAACCCAGGAATGAGTAAAGAATTAGAATTATTGTTAAATCAGTTGGTACAAGACTCAGAAAACACAATTCCCTAAATACTTCATAAAATAACTTTGATTAACTGATTTCTTACCCTTCATACGAATGCCACCTCTCTAAGACCAAGTAGAAAAAGCATGAATGGGGCTCTGTATCTTCACGTTTTGAAGTCCTTTTGGTTTGCCCTCTCTGTGCTTATTTATTAAATTTTAATAGAAACTGTTCGAAACAATTTAATATTAGTCATATGTTGACTAATTTTGTTAATATTATTATTATTAATGATAATTACCATCATTCACATCCGATGTCTACAGAATTTTTCGACCAGCTCACTGGAAGCATTCTTGGAAATAAAAAATAAGTGTCTGACTGCTAAAAACACTACATCCGTAAATTGTTCGGCAATCTAATCCAACAACGCCATCTCCAAGTCATGTCTATATTGTAGAAAAAACAAAACAAATCGTTAAGACCCAATCTACAGAATAACAAGGCAAGAATGAAAATTTTTCAAATAGAAATTTACGAAGGGAGAATAAGATTTTAGAGAAGTATCTTAACACGTTTTAGCTATAAAACGAAACAATTCTCCGCGGCGTGGTCACATTAATATCAATAATCTGCAAACATCGTCTAAATTCATTTTCAAAATTTAAAAACTCTAATAAAACCCTAATTGCTCGGTCTCAAATAAACTGAGAATCTACAAAAATTCGCAAAAGATGAGTAGATAACCAAGTTGCCAAGATGGACTCTAAGTTGCAGGTTGGACCAGAAACCCACCATCGAAAAAATATCCATGCTTAAAAACTAAGCAACCGTAATGAATACATATTAATCACTAAATAAATTTATAGAAGCGTATTTCACACAATCAAATCAAAAGTAAATAAAGATTAGCGCTAAATACCTTCAAACATCGCTTCCATTAAAGAAGAGCAATACAGCAACTAACCGGCAAACGTCGCGTCTACAGACAGGATGAGTGAGGAGATGACAGACGATAGACAACAGGAAGATCCATAGATAAAAATTATTTCTATATTATGGATGCATTATGGATTCTATAGGTGCGTTCAATTATACTACCTCAGTTTAATTCCTAAAAAGGAACTAATCGTCCCCATTAAAAGAAAGACGTTAACTACTTATTTTAATCACCTATGTAAATTTCTAACAATTAAAGCAATATTTCTAAGTAAATGCTTAACGTTTACATTTATGATCATCATAATCATCACTGTATTGAAGTTACATTTGCGTTTTGGCTTGTTTTTTTTTACACAGAATAGAAAGATAGTGCGCACAGACATGGTAATTAGTGTGTGCTTAATGACCTTATAATAAATACTGAGAAATCTCATATTTTTTTTATAAAACGCGTGATTGTTTTATAACAAGAATTAGGCATCAGTTAAAACTAAGGGCGCGTCGCCATTTAATGGTATTTGCTAGTTAAAAAATCACTATTATTAATCGAATAATACAGACATTCTTGAGCTGAAAAAATAAAATAGACTAAACAGCATCCATCTTTAATGTCTGGAACAGAAATTTGTTGTCCATTCATTTTTAACTGCTATCTATTCATTTTGTGTTACGAGAATTAAATTTTTAATTAATATACCTGGCGCTACCTACATCGACTGATAAACTGAGACTAATGCCCGGCGACTTTTCTCGGCGTCTATATAAATTTTTCAAGAATTAAAGCAAAACTTCCAAGTAAGTTTATTATTTATATTACCCTACAAAACATATTATCCGCCCTAGAAAAATCAACATGAGTATCGGCTACTGAAAAAGTATATTGTTTTTATTTTTTTTACCTTGAGAATTTAATACCATTCCTAGTAAAATTGTTTATCACTCATATTAAATTTCGTTTAGGTGGCTGATCACCTTCTAGGAAAGCTCCTTAACTACGCTGATATCTGCATGCATTTAGACCATTGAAAATTAAATAAATAAGAAATTTAATTAATGTAATAATTCAAAGTTCCTACCAACTATGGATAAATAATATTAATCAACTCCAGACCGGTATGAATGCTTGAAAACGAAAGTTATTGACCTTTCAAATCTGATACCGTACCAGAAATGTAGGAACCGTTTCTCAGGCCGATTTAATTTTCGGGAAAAGAGAAAAAGGTATAGGTACTTTTTGGGTTATCAATTTAAAAAATTGTGTGTACCCTTCTGACGAGTTACAAGATTGAAAATGTATTTGAATGTTATATGTATAATGTTGGACAAAATACGTATTACGTTACTTAGCAAACAGGAAAGCAAATGGTTTTCGATTGCATTTGGGTTTTATTTACAGTTGTACAGTTGAGGGTAGTTTCTTTTTCACAAGTTTATCTAACTATACAAAGCAACTATTTTTCATGTGGGTGGCTATATTCACATTTCGAAAACAGTCAACTCTCATATAATTGCATACAGAAGGGATTATTTACCTATTAAACAACATTCAACCCATTTTTTTTTTGTAGGCTGTTGCCAACTTTCCCTGTTGTTCCGAGTAAACTGATCAACCAACCAAAGGCAAACAAGAATAACCGTATCCTTTAAAAATACATTTACATCACGAAAGGTATCTTATCCCATACACGCGCTGTAAGGTCCTCGACCTATCGACCTACAAACGCAAGGAATCTGTCCGTTGCACTACGCGCCGATATTTTATTAGGCGCCGCACCACGTTCTGTGGCGCGCCACCCTATACCGGTCTTCTTTGTCTCCAAATATTTCATTTTCTCCTGTCAATTACGCATAATAAAGGCGCATACAAACGAACCGTTCGCGATCGCACGACAGCAGGCGGTCTCACACTTGTTAGAGGTAATTTTTATAAAAGCAAATATTTTTAATAAAAAAGTTGTTGGTATGTACATTTATGGCATAAGAACGTGGCTCGTTCCACCCACCTCTTACAACAGAAAGTATGATGTAAATGAAATATGTACAAGTCACTTGTGATGTTACGATTTATGTTACATATCTAATTATAGTGTTTAAAAAAATCAAAATTAAAAGTATGTAAATCTTTATAATTTTATTTTGATTTGGTTTTAGAAATATGTTAGATTTAATTGCTAATTGTTTATGAGCAAAATAACTTATAAAATCGTACCTAATACAAGACAAAAGTAGTTTTTGTACCTATTTTGTTCTAATATGTCCAAAATCTTTCTTTTGTTTTAAAATCATTTAATTATCTACAACATACCTAAAAGTAAATTATACTTAACTAGAGACCCGCCCCAGCTTCGCACGGGTGCAATGCTGATACTAAATATACATATATTTTTTTTAGATTATTCTCGAGGAGGGGATATCGTCAAAAGACACCCCCTGAAAATACTAAATATACTACAGAATGTCTTTATTACAACATTCACAGCTTTTTTGTCATTAGACAATACAAACCGGCTTCCCGGCCGGTATCGCCGCAACCGCTATGTCCCTGCATTTTAAATCTGTAATATCTTCGAAAATATTCATTTAAAAGTTACACGCTATATTGATATATATTAAATGCACAATGTATTTAAGGTACTTAATTGGATAAGAATCAATAATGTATTGCTTAAAATCGCTTCTTAATAAGCCATTATTTCTCATAAAAAGTAAAGGATAAAAAATGGTTATTATGGCTTATCCCTAAGAGATAGACATATAAAATCCCGAACTTTCTTGTAGACCTTTTTAAGATGTACAACACTGTAGTACATTCATTATTTTGATCTATCTCGTAGGGTTCAGCCAGCGTTTGCAATGTAAGCGCAAAAAATGTGTTTATTTACGACATCACATTAGAAACCTCTAAAATTATCAGTGTTTCTCTACTATATTATACATGTATAGTGATAGCCACATTAACATTTTTTTACTCAAATCAGAATACCTACCTATCAAAAATATTTTTAAACTCAACTTCTATGTATTGATTTGTACACAATAAATCCATAATTTGAGTTAGGGAAATACGTAATTCAAGAAAATATGGAAGATTTTATAGAATTGTGTATAATTTCTTTTGAATTAAAACGAATCTGAATATCGTCCGTATTAAATAACTTCACTTTTTCCAAGAATCTCGCTATTTAGCAGCATTTTTTCACAGTATCCATTTGTTTACTTTAATGAAATTTAATAAGTAATAAACAACTATAATTAATAAAAGGCCAATGGATAATCATTACTCTAACCAAATATTTAATTTGTGGTTTGTGACGTAGCATAATTAACATGCCTTTCACATGATGCAGGATTTCCGTTATGCGATGTTCGCACTTTCGAGCGTCAACTGTAATAGGGGCGTAATTGCTTTAAAATCTTACTAAAAAGTAAAATATACTTGAACGGAGAAACAGCAAATCGATATCTGTCCAATGGGTTACAATCGCCCCCAAAATTTTTATATTTTTAACTAATTGTAAATGAATTAAAACATTATACATCACTACTGTTTAGTACAGCTTTTAAAAAATTTCTATACTTTAGCCTATGGCGATAAAATAACTTAAGACTGACAATAAAGCAACGTAAATTAATGCTTCTTGAAGAGTTTTATATACTAGGTTTTTTGTTTTTCTTTTTAAGTAAAAACGACGCTTAAATGCGATAAATACGTGGTGTGGACGCGTCTTTATCTATCGATCGCCCTACGCACTTGCACTTATGCGTGCGGAACTTTTATACTGCTTGTGGACAGAGCTAGCAGAAAGTTTAATAATATTGGCACACGCACAATGTGTGACTGCGATGGATACTGTCTCGCACATAATAATAAGACAAGGAAAAACTTTCGTTAATAACTGTTTGACTCAATAATATTTGCGTTGTCATCTAAATTTAGCGATGCGTTGTAAGAGTTTCGTAATACATACAAAAGAATGCTTGCGTACCTACCTTTCGTGTACGCAATTCTGATTATGCAAGATGACCGACGTTGACTGAAAAAAGTTGTAAACACACTATTGCAGGCTGCAGGTAGATATTAATTAATTCTTACAGAAACTCTATACTCTATAGCAAAGTATTCCATACTTATGTAAATCATGTTTACATGTAATTTATAAATATATGAATTTTAATTTAAAAATGAATAATCAGTGACACTACAAATATGTATTTATAAAAAATAACAAAATAGGGATAGTCGAAATAATTTTACTTAAAAGTTTGAAGAGCAGCAAAAAAAAAATTTCGCCGTGGTAGTCATATTCAGTTATCTCATCATTGTGTTCTTATAAATGGATCCTAATAGCTTGACTGGATTCATAATAAATAATCGCTGCAAAGTAACGGGTCAATTTACATAAAATTTGGCATGCACTAAAGATAACTGGTATATGTACCAAGGGCTTACATTAAGTTACGTGGTATCGCCAGGATAATTGCCAAAATGTAAGTGATACCAGTATCATTGTCAATGGTATCCACCTGTCGGAATTTGGACGGACCCAACTAGTATAATTTATTAATAGACAACCATAAAAGTAAGCATTTTATTTTAAAAAATATTGTGAAAGCAAATATTTTGCATACTTTTCAGAATAATTTTTAATTAAATTACGAACAAAAATGTTCTTTTTACGATAAAATTAATATTATTTTTGTCATGTAATTATTCTTGTTTATTGCGCGCGCTATATTCGTATTTTCTACGCTGTTCAGCAGAACACTATTGAAATTGAAAAGGTGTTTACCGATTTATTTTTAAAAAAACAGTGTAGTATGACAACATAAAGCGCGGGACCTAGTCATAAAAGCTGTGAACTTCCGAAAGAGTTCACCTACCGAAACTAGGGTAAGCGTTGCAGCTATGGCTGGGTTTGGCACGTGGCTATAAGGGAGGCACGTGTAAGTTCGTCGACCTTCGGATTTTCGAGGGTCCTCTTTACGATCAATACCCACCCGAACTTAAAGCCACTTTCACTGCATTCCTACGCCAATATAAACAGTTTCTGTTTCAACCGAATTTCCACATTTATCAGAAAAGACATGGTGCCTGTGTAAAACCTTAAAATATATTTTCTCTAACAAATTAAAAAAAGTTAATCTTGAAGATTAAAAAGGAAAACATTTTCATATCAAAGTCGTAATTGCAAAATACGTTTTGATACACATACCGAATGTAGGAAAAACCCCAGCCCTATCATAAATTTATAAAAAACAATACCGAATAGCTATCTGATTTTATATCTATACACGTG